GATAGGTAAGCTTTTCATCGTTACTGAGTATGGCTGACTCGACCGTCGGTTTGAATTGCCCAAACCACTCATGCCAATTAAGTGGGTTGCCATCGAACTGGGTCAGCTTCCACTCAGTGAGATGATCTTTTTGGCTGTGCATGAGTATATTAACCAACTCTCGTGTCGAAAGTGGACGCTCGATGTCTGCACCAGGTGAATTACCGGGAGTTGGCACTGTGTAACTCGAAGAGTTACCGTGACAATCAGGAACGGACGGTTGATTAGCATGTGAAGAATTTTCAGGCTGTGCAAACAACACAGTCCCTCCACTTGTATAAGGAACAAAATTATTCGGAGAAACAATCGGAGTTACTGTGGAAAAAACAGTTGTCGAAGGAATGTAGTGTTGTTGAGCTGACAATAAAGGGGCAGCAACAGCTGGTCTCCACAAATTACTATAAGGATTATAGTGGTCACTTGAAAAGTTATAACTACTAACGGGAACACCCATTTGTTGTTGTGATGGGACTACAGGTGCTTGGTAGCCAGCTACTACTGAACATGTAGTGTGATGACTTAAAGAAACTTGATTAACTGCTGTTGATGCAGGAACGAACGGTGCTACACCAGAAAGAACATCTGCAGATGTTGTCGGAGCAAAATGATTTTCAGAAGTTATCGGGACTACTGACCCTGTGTTTGGATTGCCTAGCACCGGATGAGTGGACAGAAAAGTTTGCTGAGGCAAATTATTAGAAACAGGTTGAATGACCTGCTGTAACCCTGGATTGTTAACGGAAACCTGCGATCGGACCAAACTCGACAAATTATGTTGTTGTCCGTGAATGTGGTTACTGTAATACAATCCCGGATCACTAGAAGCTGCCTGGCCATTATTCACTCCTGTAAAACTTGATGAGACCAAGTAATTTGTTGATGCAGGATAAAGTGCCTCAGGAGCTGTTGAACAAACGTGCTGCTCTTGATTGGGAACTACAACAGCATCAGGCTGATTGTGGTCGACAGATTCAACCCAGTGACGCGTACGATCCTTTTCGTCTATTTTTAGTTGTGAAGAGATTCGAGTTAAACCACTTTCCTCAGCATTCTCGCTGATTTCCGACAACTCATCTTCTAACTCAAGCCCTTTCAACTCAATTTCTGCCAGTTTTTTCCTGTGTTCTTCAGCCAATTCTTCCAAGTCTAAACGGCTTTGTTGTTCTTTCAGTCTTAATGATACCTTTGCCTGCCTCTCAAGTTCCTCTTGTTGTTTCTTTAAAATCATTAAATCGCGCTTTATCTCAGAAAGTGTTTTCGACGGAGCGGCGGTATAACTAGATTTCTGAGAACCCGATTGCTGATGTCGGCTGCTTCGATGCGACAACTTAGAGCGGGTATCTGTTTTATGCGACCGGGGTTCTTCACTTTTTCAGAATGATGAGAAATTTTTGAGCTGCTATCAATTTTATCCGGCTCTGTTACTGCCTCAAAACTTGTTTTATGTGTGATAGCTTCCTGCAGAACTTTAGCGTTGCTTTGAGTCAACTTATGAAGCCACATATCCTGTGCTGGTATCAATTCGTCGGGATTGGCATTTTTTGCAGCCATATCAATCAACTCAGTATTTATCTCGACCGCTTGTTCTATATAGTTCCTACATTTTTCAATAATTATCAATTTTTGAGCAACGACTCTGACTCTCTATGTATTCTAAAAATATTTCGTGGCATTTATAAAGTTCGTTTTCGAGATTGCTACGTTTCTCAAACAACTTCCTAATTTTCTTTTGAAACTTAACTTCCATGCTCAATAATTTCAGAAATAAACGACTCCCAGAAAAAACTTTATTTTAACTCAAGTAAATCTTCAAATTTTTCTAATGCATCAATAACTTACAAGGGGGAGTAACTTGAAGTTTTAACGCTTTAAATCTATTGTGAATCGCTCTACAATTTTTAGGCGACAATCGGTTCCGCTTCTTCTTAGCTTTCAGTGTACTTAGGTCAGCACTGTATCGACTTAGTAACAACAGAGTCTTCAACTCAAGGGAAGGGGGCTGGTGCAGCTCTTTATACTTTTCGATAAGTATTTGGTCTTTGGCCTTTCGCTTTGAGATAAAATCCTCAACTATGTTAAGAACGGGAATACCTGTCTTTTTCAACTCCTTCTCTATATTGTCCGTACCGTTGCGGCGACAGTATACAATAGCGGTAATATTCTCCTTGTATCTCAAAAGAAGGCTCTTAAGTTGGTCAGTACTCAAACTACGGTTGTTGTTACTGCGGTGCTTACTAATGGAGTTATTAATGGCGTCGTGCCAAATAACTAGATCTTTTCGATTCGAAAAAAAAAGTGATGCAGATAGTATTGGATAGTTTTCTGGGAGTCCCTGGCGTTAAAGTTAAAGCTTAAGCCGGGCTTTGTGAAACAAGTCTCTTTCACGCGCTTTTGAGACGGTGCGGATAGTATAAGGAGAGCGTGATCCAAGGAACTGGCTCCTAGAATGAATACCATACACTCAAGAGACCTATGCGACGGCTACGTTACGCTAAAGTACCAATGGGGTGGGGAAATTAAGTAGGTCGATTGAACTCCAACAACACACACGGAGTAAACCTGAGGATGAAAGAATTCAACTTAACTCACTTAATATCACCGTACCTGACCACTTAACTTTAGTGTCGCGTAACGAAATCAATTATCGGACGGGCTGAAACGGCTTATATTTACTTGAAGCGAACTGGCTTTCTTTTTCACCAATGTGGGTGGGGGATCAGGCAAATTGGATAAGTTCCAACAACAAACGCGGAAAAAACCTGAGGAAGAAAAAACTTAATTTATTTTGCCTAATTTGTTGCTACCAGACCACTTACCATAAGGTTGGTGTCAAGTTACAGCACAGTTTCGCAGAATTATGGGGACGTTTTGAGGAATTTTTGGCAATTTTTTACTTTTTTCGCAAAATTTTTCGGAAAATTTTGGTCTGCAGGTTCGATTCATAAACCAATCCAAAAAACTAGTCTAGTACCTCTTATCTATGTTCGAATTTCACGAATTATTATTCCGTCCACAATTATCCAAAAATTTTTGGTGTCGAGAAAAATTACCACTTGTAGCTTGCTTTGAGTTGATTTACAAAATAAGACATCGTATGTAATTTTATTGCAAAGAAAGTTTATGAAAACTAGACGAGTCTTACAGTTTTTGACGAGTTTTGGAGATTGAGCTTTCACCGGTTTCGGGTTGTCAAGCCTTCGGTCGGTCGCAGAGAAATTGTTCTGCAATCACTACTCTAATTTACACAAAACGTCTGCAGTGGACTTGTACTCACAAAAAACGCCTCAGTTTCACTCGACACCTGTATGAAGGCCTCTGTTGTGTTTGACTCGACACCACCCGTATGAGGGCCTAAAGCTGTAAGAAATATTCCAGCCAATGGGGCCGTAGCTCTTCCTCTCGGACAGAACAGCGTGGAAGTCGCTACCAGGCCTGCTCAAGAATCAGTCCAAACTGAATTGAGTCCAACTACAGTCCAAACAACACATTCTAGAAAATGTGTGTCACTTTAGTTTTACAACCGCACGTATGAGGACGATTTGCTAAAATGAGGACGATTTGCTGGGGTCCCTTGTATGAGGACGATTTGCTTTGGTCCCCTGTATGAGGACGATTTGCTCGGGTCCCTTGTATGAGGACGATTTGCTCGAGTCCCTTGTATGCGGTCAATTTGCTCGGGTCCCTTGTATGAGGTCGATTTGCTCGGGTCCCTTGTGAATAACTTCGGACTTCGTTGTCCCTTGTGGGGCGCCAAAATGTGCGCGTAAATCTCCACAAACCGAATCGTAAAAATTTTGCTCTGTAAAACAGTTGAATTACAGAGCGTTTTCTCGGCAAAAATAACACTGAAAATCCATAATTTTACAGTTTTCAAAACGTATTTCATCATCGGTAAGATCGGCCACAATAAACTGCATAACTCAAAGCAAGCTGCAAAAACGGCCAGTATTTGTCCTTGAGACAAATTGCTCTTTTTAAAGGTCAGCCTTAATCAAGGCTGAACCAAATTAGAGCGAAAAGATGGTTAAAATAGGTTTTGGGGGGGGTTCGAACCTGGTTACGGAGCATCCCATCAAGTTCGGTGCATATTCGAGTTTTAGAAAGGAAATGACCTAGTCGGGATTCGAACCGACGCCGAACCCGCCGGGACGCACCCTGTATACGCTTGGCTACTGTCCCTATCTGCATTTACATTTTGGTTCAATTTTATATGCATTTATACTCTCGCACATTTGCAATTATATTTGCACTGCAACACTTATTCTGGAAATAGTAAGCCATCTCTCGAATATGTATCACCTTCTCGTTATGGTTAAGAGTATTACTTACGTTGATATGGGATTTTTTTTTTCGGATCCACCTAAAAAAATGATCTTTTTCTTCAATTAAATTTTTGCATGCAAATCTAGTTTTTCAATCAAAATTTAAACCTCAAGATTGGCAGATAAAAAACTAGCATAAAATTTTATCAAACAAGCAGATTTGTTCAATTCATTTTTTACTGAAGCGTGAGAGAGCAGCTTTTATAGCGTTGTAAAAAAAACTCACGATTTTTTCTCAATAGTTTCAGTTGCAATTTTTCCATATTCACCAGACTTCTGGGAAAAATTATCCAAACTAAATAGAGATGCTAATTTTATTCTGGAAATCAAAAAATAATGTTATCATAATCTTGATACAAATTTATTAAGAAATATCATCACGAAAACTATATTTACAATTTTTTTTGTTTAATTTTCTAAGAAACCTCTAACGCAAAATTTCAGACCCAGAATTTTTGGAGCTTCTTTTCAGCTCAATTTTTAAGCATGGTATCTGAAAGCAAACGTAGAGATATGTATCAAAAAATCTTTATAGCTTAATTATATTACAATTAACAATAAAATGGAATAATTTACAATACAATTCAATAATTACAAAATTGTCTCTTTTTCATTTTTACCTCAATTTACATTCACATCCTAATTCTCAACATTTGATCGTTCAATAAAGTTCAAAACTTCGTCCAAAGTTTCTTCGAGGGATATTTTGAAGCTACTTCCTTGTAAGTACTGCAAATTCACCCCTAGCTGATCACACAGCCACTGTTGATCCTCAAAGGGGGCTATCTGAAAAAGAAAGATTGCGGGCTAGGATTTAAAAGGGGGCATGTTCCGTTTTGAGACCAAATATTACACATTTTCTAATTCAGACCAAATTTTGAAATAATTTTAAAAAACCTATCATTTTTGGTCTGTATAACAGAAAAAACCCTTTAGAAATTTAAGTAATAATCGACCATTGGGAAAAAACATGATAAGAATATTGATTAAAATAAAGTCCGCTTTTTTATTCTGCTGACTTAAAACCATAGTTATGAGAAAATTTTAAGCCTAAAAATAAACAAAAACTAAAATTTGTTGCGCAGTCTTTTCTGGGCTTTGATGCACATGAAATTTGTTTAAATCTTTTTTATTACTTCAAAGAAATAAATCCTTGTTAAGACTCTTCAAAACAATTCAAGACGTAGTATCTTGAAGTTTCAAGAAATTAATGACTAAAAACTTCAGTTTTGTCAAACTCCTAAAGTGAATAATACCTTAAAGAATTCTCACCTGCTGTTCGTTTAACAAATCATCCAAATTTTGGATTTCACATTTCGGGTCTCTCAGATCATCGTTAGTTTCACCACCACTGTTTAAATGTTCATCTACCCCTCCCCCTCCTGGCTGATTTGAGGGGGTTAATTGTGACGGGGGGTAGTGAGATGTGTATGCCAGAATATGGGGACAGTTGGCTCTGATTTGATCCCAGTCCCAATCGCGATCAAAGTAGTCTAAAAAATAATTTATGTAGAAATCAATTCTTTTTGGTAAATCTGAAATAAACATGTAAGAATAGAAACTAAATATTATTTGCGAATTTCACAAAGATATAAAATTAAAGGACGAAAATTACAACGCCTCGTTCCCAAGGAAATTTCATTTCGTTCCCAAGGAGTTATCACAAATCACAAACCCTCTCATTCCGGGCTATTCAATATTTTTCAAAATCACATCCGAGTCTAGGCAAATTTGCTGCTTCGACCGTAACCACAGTTCTATGGGGTAAGTTCAATAGGAACAACGGGGTAGTTTAAAAGATGGAGGGTAGTGTGGGGACAGGTATCGTCGAGGATGTCGGGAGGGCGCGATTGGAGGTTATGCGAATGGCGACGTCATCAAAAAACCCTGTTTACATGTTACGAGTGGAATATTTTACAAAGTGAACAAAAATTGATAAAAACTAAGTTGGAACTATTTTGTCCGTTTACTTTGCAAAGATCACTTTTAAACATTCATTTGAAGCTGGGTTTTAATAAAAAAAAACAAAGTAAATTATAAAAGGGCCCCTTATAAAAGGTGCAATTAAAAAAACTGGGTTTTATTTGTCGAAAAGGGGAAGCGGACTTGTTGGGAGAGAGAGAGAGAGAGAGAGAGAGAGAGAGATAGAGAGAGAGAGAGAGAGAGAGAGAGAGAGAGAGAGAGAGAGAGAGAGAGAGAGAGAGAGAGAGAAAGGTACTCACATGCGGCCTTCAAGTGAGCATCTTCGTGATGTTGGTATCCTCCGTCTATTAACACCACAGCTGCAACCTCATTATCCTCCGCCCATCTGAATAGAAAAAACACACACCCTTTTATCGAGATATCAGAAAATGAAAATGCCAAGATGGGGAAAACGAGCTCTTTTTTGCTTAATAATACTTTATATTTGCTGATTTTCAGGGGGAAAATATTGGGGACAAAGTTGAAATATAATTTAATCATAATCTATATAAATTTAAATTGCCTCAAGAAATTTTTCATAGGTTGCCAAGGATGGGTCTTCCTTAAAAACAGCTAAGAAACAGTTTTCAATTTTACCTTTTATTGCTTTGAAATTTAAACAGTTGAAAATTGAAGTAGGGTCTTAGTCTTGAGTTTGATTGCATTTTCAAACTGAACGTCTAAAAACTCTTTTCGATGTAGAGTCAATTAAATCGTTCCAGGAAAATAAAATTTTAGGTTTTTTGTTCTCTTAAATGCGACTGTTTTTGTATTTAGTCCTTGTGTATGCTGATCCAAGATTGTGTTTTCATCTACAAAGATGACATACTAATTCATCAACGAGGCACATTGCTGCTGGTAGTTTTTTCGGATTCAATTTTAGATCAGATGAAAATCGCAGTTCTTTCTATTGCAGCAGGTCTTAATAGTCCAACTATGCTGCTTTTCGACTGATACTATTAAAATTGTTAGTACTCCACTTATGATTATTGACAGGTAGTGTAGACGAATCATTACCAAGGCGTTAAATAATAACATTCGACGTTTCAAGAGCTTAATTACCCAAAACAGTTTTCGAACTAACCTGAAAATAATTTCGGGTTGATTTTGTTGGAAGGTTCCTCAAAGGATGCGGATTTTCAATTTTTACGCAGAAAAGACAGAATAATTAAAAATGACCCAGGTCTGCATCACATAGTTTGACTACTTATGCTCGCAGATTTTGGCCAAGCTTGACAATAATGTCATAATCAAGTTGTATACTAGAGTTTATTATGGTCACTTCGGCTCTGTTTCCTGCTGAAAAAGATAAACTCCGTTTTCTCAATGATTTTTTTAGGTGGCGTTTTGTAAAATAATGATAAAAAAAATTGACAGGTTTCCTGCAGATGCTGAAGAGTAAAAATAACACAATGATGATAAAAGCAAACAAATTTATCATTTGATATTTGCAATACTTCGCTATTTTTGAATTTATTCTTGCTTAAATCCTTTAATAGAGGTTGAAAAATCTTAAGATTGTTCCTTGAGGCACACTTTAATGGAGTGCCATTCAGTCTAATTCTATTTTATTCACTAGTCTTTTGCTGCTAAAGCTCATCTCACTAGTCGAATCTGAGAAGCTCAGACTATTTAGTTTAGTTTTCAGAAGATCATGATTGACGAAGACAAAAGCCTTTGAAAATTCTACTAATATTTCAGCAACGTTTTTGTTTCTGTACATACAAATTCGGAAGAATTCAAAATAGTAAAATTTTGCATCGACAGTAAAATATGACAATCTAAAACGTATTGTATATTACTTTGTGAGTTTTTGAATAAAAGAGTTTCATCTTATCGTTTTTTCGTCATTTTTAATTACTTTTTCATTTAAGGTTTTTCTAAAATGAATAACGGTGAAACTATATGGGCATCTATGTTTTGGGTTTTTACTTATTTCTTTGTAATATGGCATTCTTTGAGATTAATTTGTAGTTTTTGATGACCTATATAAATAGGCTCTAGTGGCGCAGACTTTTTATGCTATCATTTACATTTGAGTTGAAGCTTCGAATCAGTTTTCTTGAATGGACTTGTCACTGAAAAGGATACCAAAAAGTTCGTTATATGTGGAAATGTGACATTTCGACATCATTTTTCAACTTCCAAGTATCAGATGCAAATTTTCGCCTTTTTTCTAGCTCTATAAAAAAAGTGAAGCTTATTGCTATGTGTTGATCGATTTATTTAAAAAGCTTTCTTGCTGTGATCCGTTGAATTGAGTTCTGTAATTATATAAGCAACAAATGATTGTGAATGAGTTGGTGTTGTTCTTTTTGTCAATTCTAACTTTTTCGGACACAGATTTTTTTTGTCAGAATCAAGAACTTTTGTTGTTTTCTCTCATTAAAATCAAGTTCGTATTGTATGATTGTGCATACTCAAGGCGAAGTAAAGGTAGGATCATCATTAAATCATTCAGCTTTGTTTGAAATTTTTAGGGTTATAGGTAATTTTGTCAATGTAGATCTTTCGTTTTTGATTTTTAATGAAATCGACCCAAAGGCTGTCATATTTGTCATGTAGCAGTTTTAAGTCGTTGCAAAGCTTAGAAGTTATGGATTTTGGCATCAAATTCAAAAAGCCTCAGCCTCTACTTTTCCCCTGGCCTCTGCAGATATGTCATTGCGAACTACAGAAAACTGTTTATTCTTCAGCGTCCACAGATTGTGATCATTTGAATCATGTCTCGGGCAATCGATAAATTGTATTTTATCTGTATTTTTAACTAGCTCTTTGAATCATCTCATTTAGAAATATAAAATATGTTATTGCTCTGTTGTCTTCTAGGATTCCCGAGACTCATATTTGAACCTGAAATTGGATTTTGACAAGGAGCAAATTAGTTGGCTTCAGATATATTTAGTATTTTAATGATTAGTTTGTTGTAATGATAAGAATTATAATGAAAACATACCAAATAATCAGGTTTATCTTCATAATAAGATGCACTTGAGAGTTGAGCATAATAAAATCGATTTTGAGAGGCTTTCGATATATCTTGTCCCGTTTATTCACGGCAGTATTTGAAACATCATAATCATTGTCAAAATACATAGAAAGCGGTGAAGTAGTTTGGATTCTGATTGCAAATATTGTAGATTCTAATGTCAAATTTTCAAACAACAATCGTATTCTCGACAGATGTGGGTAAAACGATTTTTGTCCGAGGAGTCATTACACAGCTTAACTAAGTTTAATTAGTTTCGAAATCTCCAGTCAAAGCCTCAACATTTCTAACTGGTTAGTCCTGATCAAGTGAATGAAATTTGAGGTGTTTTTAGGGTCAGAATCATTGGAGACATAAAAATTTTTCTGAAATTCGTTTTTCGAACTACTTTAAGAATTTCCGTAGTTGAATCGGAATAAAACATTATATCGAAGTAGGTTTTAAGTTTTCTGAAGAAAAACTCTGTAAAGAAGAAACGCTTAATTTACTGGAAGATTCCTAAAGCAATACGGATTTCTGTTTTTCAAGTACCGGTATGCACGGTTTAAAAAACCTCATTTTTTGCTCGTGACTTTCTGGAAATACCAAAATATTTGACAGTTTGATCACAAAATGCGAAAATCGTTCCTGGTAGGTTTAGATCTGTAATAAATTCCCACTAACCTCAAAGCGCAGCTGGCTCCTAAGCCGTGTCCAATCAACACACAGTGTCTGTCAACGTGAAGGTCTTCAGATAAATGCGGAATCCAGAACACCTCGCGGCCGAGATCTGAGAGAAAAATTGAATATGTGCAAAATATTATTTGAAAATTTATAGAAACACTTAAATTGAAGTCAGAAATTTTTAACAGAAACGAAGTTAAGAAACTTTCATCAATGTTTAGCGCACGTTTGTCGTAAAATCTGCGTAAAAAATTGAAAAAAAAAAATTTCTTTAGTTTTTTCCAGCTCATTTAGAGTTTAATTTGGCGATGAAAAAATTAAAAGATGAAATTCTAATGATAAATTAAAAATTATCATAATTCAACCCTTTAAGAAAATTCGACGTTTAGGTTTCTGCAGAAACAAGATTTGAAAAAAGATTTGCCTTATTTGCCTCTAGTTTTTTACACTCGCATTTTTGAAACTAAGCTATACATACGTGGATCTGGCATGTCGCAAACTTGGCACTCAATGTTGGCCTGAAACAAATGGCGAAAAATAACATTCAAAAAGTTTTATAACTCTCTTGCGTTTATGTGTTTTACATCAATAACACCCTCCTCTAACAGCCCCCCCCCCACCCCCACAACCGTTTTATCCCAATGCAATTGAAAACTTTTTAATTGACCGATATGGATAATTAGTTTAAAACACAAACAGTCTATTTTTTTTGCTTTGGACATAGCAAAAAAAATGCATTTTTCATCGTTTTTATATGTTCTTAGTTATTTTATCAATCGTGTATTCACATCTTTGTAGCACATAATTTAAATTAAACTTTGATTTTGGCTTTTCATTTTTCGGATTAATAAAGTTTAATATAGTCATTTAAAACAGTTTTTCTGTCCAGATGAGAAGATTCATGTGTTTTCTTTTATTTTTTGCCGCTATTTTTAAAAAGTTGGTTTTGCTGTTTACCTTTTTGTGTATTTGTGATTTGAGCCATGGGTACCAAAACTTCACTTCTGACACGCCCTCGTCCAGCTTGTTGTGGGGCACAATCAGCACACGCCTTCTGCTCCCGTCATGGCCGGGTCCATGATCATGGACATGTCCATTGTAGACCTGTTCATGTTTTATCAATTCATACTAATGGATTATCGATGGGGACGATGGGGAAGGGTGTGGGATAAGGTGGTTTGATCATTCAAGGCCGACCCTGATTTTTTCGAGAATAGCAGTTTTTTAAGAATGCGAATTTCTTAAGCGTTGTCTGGGGAGTTCCTAAAATTTGGTTTTAAAAAATGCTTAAAGGTTTAGTTTTTGTTAAGGCTAGTGCATGTCCGTTTTAAAAAAAAAATAGGCTCTATTATGTTGTTTTTTTTGTCAGCAAAAACGGTTTTTCTCGACCAGTGCTGATCAAGACTTCCTGTTACGAAAAACTGCTTAATATACAATTCCAAAGCTTTACACTTTGTATGAAATTGTTTCAATTGATCATATAAGTATAAAGTCGCATGAATAAAAAAAATAAAGTTAAGCTAAGCTTTTTCTCCGTTCTGTGTCTCGAGAATTTTTAAGAGAAAACATTACAAATACAAATTAGACAGCAAATTTTTTTTATACTTGCTTATACATATTTACAGGGGTGGATTTAGGGGGCTGACGCCCCCCCCCCATCAGGGATTCGAACCCCTGCCAACCCAAATGGTCCCCCTTCGTACTAATTTCAGACATCCATTTTTGGTGACAGACCATAAAAATGTTCTAGAGGCACCTTCGACGCTAATATAAACTAATTTTAGGGGGCAGCTGGCGCCAAAAAAAAACGCATTTTTTGGTCAATATTTTCCAGAAAGTGCTTAAAATCGCCCGTTTTGGCCTCTTTTTCATATTTTCAATCTAAAAAAAAATACTCAAGGTTTTCAAAAAGTAGAAATTCAAACAAGAATTAGCTGTAAACAAACTTTCTAGTATCTAACAATCAGTTCACAGCTTGGCTCTCGAAAAATATTGCCATCTTTAAATTCTTTGTTTTTTATTTCCAAAGCATTTAAATTGCATGACGAGCAATTTCTGTACAAAATAATTATATGTAAACTTTGAAAAAATACTGCTGAATGCCTTTTTTTTGCTAGTGTTAAAGCTGTCTCCGAATAATGCTAAAATGGTTGTTCTGGAAATGTAGAATCTATTTGACGATTTTCGAAATCAAAGTACAGCTGAAATGAATTTAATGTGATTACATACATGCTTGACTATATTGTTGACTTTCAAGTCTTGAACCGGAACTCATTTTTCTCTCGTTTTTTTTAAAGCCTAAGCACCAATTCAATACCCAGTTATTGTTCAAAATGGACATTTAGCAAGACCATCAAATATAAGAAGACCACAGAAAGTTTATCCTGATGAAAAGACAACATATGGAAAGAAAAGTATCCTGAATAAGAATTTCATTAAAAATCCGAAATTTTATTTCAAATAGAATCAAAAATAAACAACAAAAAAAATAAACAACCCTTTTCAACCCTTTTTTTTGAAGTCTTCAAGACTGAGTTTTAATGAAAGCAAAGTTCAAGTAATTGTTTCGACAATTTGAAAAAAAAGGAGGAAGTTTCTAGTCGGGTTAGTTTTATTTTTTTTAAAACTGTTTTTTTGTTTTTCACGCAAAATCAACTAAAACTTATAATCATCGGAATGGGTCGAGATAATTATCATATTAAAACCTTTTCAATCATGATTCGAAACATTGTTAAAAAATCATCAGTGTTGTCATACATTATGGATTGATAAAACTTCATATTCATTTATATACTAATTATGTTACTAAAATTTTTGTTGTTTATGTTAACCTTAATCAAAAGCTGGTTGATTGACCTTGATAGAAGATGACACGGATCGTGGTGAACTATGGTTCAAACGAAAAAAGAAATGTGTTAGCCATTTAGTTGTTTTAAACCACTACTTCTGAGATTCGGTGTTTATCGATCCATTCCGATTCGAGAAATAATTAATCATACCCAGAGGTATGACATGGCGCACTCAGCAGGATTCTCAAAAAAACCGCTGAATAATAATCCACTCTGGGAGAGAGCATCAGCTGAATTTTTCATTCGAGTGGTCCAAATGGGCAGCAATACTGCAAATTGCAGCAAATGGGCAGCAAAATTCGCAAAAGATGAAATTGAAATAGGAAACTTGTTAAGAGCCAAGCCACCTTTAGTCGAACCCTCAGATCCGAAACACGAGATTGAGATAATGGGCGAAACAGAGGCACAGAAAAAAAATTTAAGAAGTCCAAAGCCAGGAAAACGAGTTGGAAAAGGAGTACTATGCAACTCATTCCGACGGGACGAGGCGTAGCTATCTTTTTCGGTGTCTAGGCGCTGAAGGAACAAAAGACAAATTCAACAGGAGAGACTACCAATTTGGAACTACCAATTTGGAACTACATACTGTCACCACACAAGAACTTATGACATCATTAGAGGATATTTTCGCTACAACCAGGATAATATCCTTTGATAGATTCAATTTCATCTGTAGAAAGCAAAAGAAAACAGAAAACCTGGAACAATTCCATGCAGACTCAGTAGAATTAGCCGACTGCGGCGATTGCGAAGACGAGTGGATAAGAGACGTGTTTACAGCACACATGAACAACTAAAAAATTGCGGAAGAATTGCTAGCTCAAATACAGAGCCCACAAGATGCATACGAATAAGCGATATGTCGCTAAAAAGGAATCGAACCTATTCGCACTATGAAGATAAACTCATTCGGAGGCCAAACAACCACAAAAACAAAACAAGAACTGGCGCATTACATAAATACACGTGGCAGATACAACTACCAAAACAACCAGAATCCACAGAGAGGCCGGAGCGGCTTCCGCGGTCGACCGTATCCGCGTGGAACACAAAACCCAAGGGGACAACAAAAATGAAACACAGACTTGAAAAATCAGAAACAAAGCTACAAATGCGGAAATAAGTAGAGCCCCAATCACTTACAATTTTGCCCGGCAAAAGACAAAATTTGCTCAAAATGCACCCAGCGAGGGCATTTCGCAAAAGTTTGCCGTTCCACAATTGTTAATTAATTGGAAGACAAACATGATGAACAACAGGAAGAGATCGCAACAAAGAGAAGTACGGAGAAAGACAACGATCCCATGTCATTTGCTAAATTCACTTCAAAAAGCCGATGGGACGATTACCAATTTGACAAATTTTGGGTTATGGCAATAGCCGATTCTTTTGGAAATGAAATTACAAACACAATATTGAAGGATGATTTTAAGGAACACATTGTTAAATTGAAAACAAATACGACTGATTTATTCGCCGTCGCCGATTCGGGCAGCCCAATGTCCTTCCTCAACGAGAAAACAGCACGGCGAATACAACAGACGACAAGACAGCATTTTTCAAAAACATCCCACCGAGGATACTGCTAGGAATCTAGCATGCTACAACGGCGAAACAATTAATCCGATAGGAAGGCTGTTAATAACAATTGAGTCGGGAGGTTGGAAAATCCAGACAGCTCCTTTCATCATAGTGGACGACAACAAAAGCAAAAAGCATAGGATGGAGCCTACTACCGCGTATAGGTATTAAGCTAATTCAAGAAAAGCAAACTTACAACGTACTAAACGTGCGAGAAATAACATAGTCTAAGCCATTAAACAATAGTTAAAGACCATTTCCAGCAACTATGTGTGAGCATTTGAAAGTCAGAACAACATGTAATTAAAACTCAATTTAACAAAGAGTTCGACCCATTTCAACAAAGGGCAGATTTCACAAATACTTCTGCAATAACGGGTTCAAGCGGAACTAAACAAGTTGATAGACCAAAAACACATTATTAAATTAGACAAATGTTCGGAAACAAATCTCAAATGCCTAATTTAGACCTACTCCTGGACATCGCACAAGTGGTGGAATCGGACAAATCAAACCAAACGTTATTCTCTACACTCGATCTGCGGTACGCAAACTCGCAAATCTTTTTGGATAAAACAACCAGAGAACAGCGTAACTTCAGTCTTACTGGTGGCAACGCCACCGGATTATACCAAATGCAAACGGGATTTTGCGGCCTTATGTATATACCAGCAGAATATCTGAGAGCAATCGATTTAATACTCACAAAATGTATCAATACATACGCGTGCCTAGACGATATACTGATTGTGACAAAAAGATTGGCGGAATCACATCGTCAAAAACTCCAGGCAGCTCTGACAAAAGTAGACGAAAAAAAAACTGTCGATTTCAATAGATAAATATAAGTTTGCAGTCAAACAGGTTGAGTGGTTAGAGTACAGCGAGAGAACGAAACCTCTTATAAAGAAAACAGATCCAATTGAAAATTATTGTCGCCCGAAACCTTTAAGCAACTGAAAAGTTTCATGGACTCAGAACACCATCTCACACGGTATATAACAAAACTAGCTAAAACAGCATCTGATTCAGGCCTATTGTTAAAGAACATTGAAATAAATCAGCCAATCATTTGGTCGCAACATCTCGATACTCGTATTGCATGCGATGCGTCTAGTACAGGGATAGGGGCGTCATTAGAGTAACATTCACCAGAAGGCTGGATGGCTGTAGTATATGTGTCACGTTTTTTAAACTCCCCCGAGAAAAAATATTCCGTAAACGAACTAGAATTACTAGGAGTTGTAAGGGCAATCGAACAATTTAAATACTTTTTATATGAAAATTTATTTCACCGTCATTACTGACCACCGAGCTTCAATCAGCGCTCTATACACAAGCGAACAATCAAAAACAAGCTAGAAACAAATGTTACATTGGATCGACCGATTGATACCATTTCACTTTGACATCAAACATCTTGCCGGAAATAAAATGGAATTAGTAGATTAAATGTCACGAAATCCCGTTGGATTGGCAAAACCCCCTAGTGAGTACGATGAGAATACTGCAGTAGCGTCAATTATTGAAGTCATATACAACCTAGAATTAATTGACAACGTCATCCTAAATAATCTGGCCAATCATTAGCTAGTCACCACATGATAACGGTAGGACTAGTTGCAACGGTGGAGAAGGACACAGCAACAACAGAGGCAGAGTTACTATTCCGCGGGAGATTTCAACAAGTGTTGGGGGTCAGATTCATAGCCGCTGCCTCAACAGAAGGACAAAAATCTGCGTCCCCTGATAAACTTTGTCAGGAAGAGAGACTGGGAGGCCATCAAAACCTCCTACGGACATTACTGGCACAACACCTGGAATAGACTACATGTCAGAGAGGATTGCGTGCTGATAGACAAAAGATTTGCCCTCCCTACGCAACCTAGGCAGACAGTACTGGACAGCCTCCACTTGATCCATCCAGGATCTGCATCCATGTTGGACCTGTGCCATGTCTGGTTCCCTCACATTCATTGGTTCTTCGTGCAAATGGCGCAAAGTTACCGTCATTGTACCGAGCAAGGTAAAAACTTTAAACCAATATTGGCGAAAAAGCAGTCATTCCAAATGGAACCAGTAGTAGAGCCCAACGAAGAGGCTCAATTAGATTTTGCGGGGCCCCTCACGGATGATCTAAATAGAGATGCGTATACTCTAGTTGCTTTACATAAATGGTCAAAGTTCCCGACTGCAAAGGTTGTGTCAAATATAACAGCAGAACTTGCACTTAAAATTATGCAGAGATACTTTTCTAAAAACGGGTACCCAGAAGATTATGGTGTGATCAGGCACAAACATTTAGAGCAAAAGAACTTTTTTTTGCCGCACAAACAACAACATAAAACTATATTTTGCACCGGTAGATGATCACAGAGCAATAGGTGTTATTGAAAGAATGATTCAAACACTAAAACGTACGTGAATGAAAATAGACCAAATGAACACCCCATATGAACTAGCTTCAGATGTGGCGGAAATCATAAAAAAACATTGAGACTCACGCAACATGGCTTCACAAAAATCTCACCGTTTGATGCACATATGCGCAGAAAACCAAATACCCCACTTTCCAATTTAGCAACAAGTAGCTCACCAAATAAAGTAAACTGGGAAAGCGCAAAACATGCATTGTTAGATCGAAAGAACTTTAACGAGCGGCCATTACCAGCGGAAATCAAGCACGATCTTCAATGCTGGTTGGAGGACGAAATATCAATTAAGAAGCAAGAACAGAAAACCACTTGACAAATACCGAGGAGTCTATAAAACGCGCATTCCTCAAACCAACAAAAAACAGGTGCAAACTCTAAATCCATAGAACTAGCTAAGAACAAGCTAAAGGTAAGATACAAGGGAAAAAAGGAAAATTGACAAAAACACGAAAAAATAAATAGACCAGGTGGCACGAAAAACATTTAGACTAGCAACAAAGGTTAAGGAACTCAAAACAATTGAACAATATTATAAAACCATAGACGGGAAAATTCTTATATAAACACCACAAACCGTATTGGTACAAATTTTTGGAAAACAACCGAGGCTACTAAGAAAAAGCGGAACGGCATTTGCTCCTAATCTTTTAATATACGGACCATGTAGACTCTCTTGGCTCAACGACTACGTCGCTAAAAAATCCGCACGGGGAACAGGACCATGTCTACGTTTTTTAGACATCGGGATCCGATGTTCAGAGAAGACGAACAAACTGGACTACCCATCAAGCTGACAAAACAGGCAAGGCGTAGAGACAAAACAACCAAAGCAGCCCGACGAAGCGAAAAGCCAAGGCAACGGGGAAAAGAACAGGGAGCAGACCAGCAAGGAAAATACAGACGCCACGAGGAATGAGTCTGCGAACAGAGGAGGCCATAGACAATGCAACCAAGGAGGCCACGCGTGAAGAGATAGCACCATGTGACTCAGATAAGGACGACAACTCCTCTTCAGCGTCCGAGGACATTGCGCCATCGCTCAAAAGGCAAAATCAGAAGCGGACGCCACCTAAAAACACCGATATACGAAAATCCTTGAGGAACAGCCATTCAGCATTAGCATCGGCACTCGGAAACCCTGTTTCAGTCAACACGATAAGAGCAACAAACACCCCTAAGACGAGACAATTTGAAATTGTCTCGCCGCCAGAAAAGTCAGCGTCAGAGAACTACCCGAGCTTAAAGTCACTTATTGAAGAAATGGCTTTTACAGAAAAAAACACGCGAATACAAAACATGTGTGAAATTTGTCGAAGCTATCAGCAAAACAACGAGCACCAACGTATTCGATATAACATCACCAAACAGAAAACTAGACAATCAACAAACAGCATGGAAATCGTATTCGTGAAGCAGAAAAACGATGATACAAAAGAAACACAGGAAGAGGATGATGAGCAACTGCAAGATGTTGAGGAACACGGAACTAACATTGACGACAACAATGACACCAAAAAGGACGGAACAAGAGTAGAAGCAAAAAAAGAGACAACACGACAAACAGTCCCATGTGGACTATAAACTCAAATTTAAAATCACTTTGTGTAGTTTTCCCGCTGACGGGGAATGTCATCCGGCATGGATTGATAAAACTTCATATATGTTTATATACTAATTATGTTACTAATAATTACGTCATTTATATTAACCTTGATCAAAAGCTGGTCGATTGACCTTGATAGAAGATGACACGGATCGTGGTTGAACTATGGTTCAGACGAAAATAAATGTGATGACCATCTATTTTTTTTTGAACCACTACTTCTGAGATTCGGTGTTCATCAATCCATTCGGAATCGAGAAATAGTTAATCATACCCAGAATTATGACAAATGTCGAGAAAAACCAGTTTGAAACTTTTGATTTTGATCTAAATTCGAGCTAATGAGGTGAGCGTGCAGGCTTACAATAGCTTATTTATTTTGGTTTTAAGCAAAGAAACTTTAAATTTTTCTGAAGTAAAGTTAAAACTCGGAGTTTTTAGCACCATTTTGATAAACAAAATTTAAAAAAATTTAAAACATTTCTGCAAAAAAATAAGAAGAACCTATGATTTTTTTAATATTACTTTTTTGTTAAAATTTTTGTTTTCTCTTTTTCTAAAACTGTTTTCAAATCAGCACAATTGACTTAAACTAGAATTTGCCTAGTTTATGTTTTTTTTCAGATCTTTTTATCACAACACACAGAAAAAACGTCACTAATATGAAGAAATATTATTTTTTGATTTTCTAAGACTTTAGTCGGAAAATTGGAAAACTCCGTCCTATTTTCACAGTAACAAGCTATCCCTGCTAATACAAATTTTAGTAGTTGAACATCATACCTCTCTGTTTTTGACAGCTGCAGCTCCAGTTTTCACCTCCACTCTGCTTTTCAAAGGGGGGACCTTCTCCACACAATCCAAAACACTTCCTTTATTCTTCTTCTGAATCACTTCATTTCGGAAAATTGCTCCATCGAACAATCCGTCACGCGAACCAGCGTCTCTTTGACCACTGAAGTTATTTCGCCCGTGATTGTTCTCGTTATATTGCAATTCCGAACCCCCGTATGAAAAATGACTCTGTTTGATATTATTAACACTCGTCGTTAAAACCTTGCTGTACATTAAATGTCTTTCATTTTCTTCGAGAGTTTGTTGAACTCTTGGTCGCTTATTGGCTGGAGGGTTTTGCGAGTTTAAATCATCCAATGCTAAGCCAATTTCAGGCGTTTCAATTTGGGATTGAATAGCGTTTTGTGCATGATTTCCGTGTATATTTCCATTCATGCTATTATTGTACATTGTAAGTTGATTCGACATGGTTTGAAGCTGGGAGTTTGGGTTGTTACTATCATTAACTGGATCACTAATGTTACAATAAAACCCTGTTGAATTATGGTCTTGTTCAATGCTATTTCCACTTTCCAGAAACCCTCTGCTCTTTGGGTTAAGATTCCCGGTTTGTGAGTTCGTCAAACTGTTTGGAAATTGTTGTCGTTGTTGGTGTTGTTGATGTTGATTGCTTACAAGTGGATTAAGCGAGTCATAAACTGTTGGTCGAATTGGCTGGTTGTCATCTAGAGGTGAATCGAAATTTATGTTGAAATATACCATTATTATATAATATTGATAGATTTTCTAGTCTATACCCCAGATACTACTAGAAGGTGTGCTAAGCAAAATCACACTTTTTAAGTTTAAAATTGGTCAAATGAACACAAAATATACATATATTTTTTTCAGTTTCAAGTTTCGCGAAATTAATAAAAATCCATTTTTCCAATTGTTTTTTTTTCGTAATTGAAAATCCGGTGGAAAATGTTGAATACTTAGTTCAAGACCAGGGAAATTAAATCACAATAAAAGCAAGTTCCAGCTGAATTGAAAACAATTTCGGAACACAATTACGGCAAAATTGAAAAACGGTCATCTTGTATTTTTCAATAATCGAAATTGCCAACAAAAAAGAGAAAAAAGTGGAAATGTTTTTTATTTACCTGAAAGCTTTTTCTTTTGTCAGAAACATAGTAATTTTTTCAGTGCCATTTAAAAAAACATGCCAATTAAATCAATAATGCGCACCTGTTTTTCTGTTTGTTTTTTTGTCTATCTTGTTTTGAACAAAAGTAGCCGCAAAAAGATTTGAACAAACAAAAGTATGTCACTTGAACGGAGCTGGCAACTCTTTTTTTTAAAAAAAACATAGTGCATTAATAATAAATAAACCTAGTTTTGTTGTTCGTGCACGTGAAAACAATTTAATAGAATCAGAAAAAAATGAGTGGAGTAAAAAAAAGTATTTGGAAACTTAAGGCAAACAAACAGTTGAAAAAAACTCACAAAAGAAAAGTTAACAATGAATTCAATAAATATTTTAAGCTCTGGCAATCATTTTCCGCTGAAAAAAAATAAGAATTAAATTTTAAAAAAATCAATTTTTTGGTACAATTTACCTGTTCAAGACGAGGCGACAAAAATGTTTTTTAATTCGAATCACGGGCCATAAAATCCCAAAGAAATTTTGTATACCGCATTTTTCAAAATATCTTTTATTGTTTTTATGTCGCTTGATTTGCTTTTATGGTCCTTAGTTAGCCAGAAAGGCGACAATATAGGCTCTTTTAAATTCGTATCTTCCGTTTTTTTGTTTTCATCTCTTCAATTTTGAATTATATCATTTGCCATTGTGGTGTATTATTGTTGAGTAAAAAGACAATACATCTGTTTCTGTTTTTTTTTGCAGCTAGAAGCTGAGATAATGTTATCCTTATAAAATGCGATCAACTGAAAAGAGATTTTTTCTGGACCAAAATTGAATCAAGACAAGAAGGTACATTACTAATCATGTATTCAGATCTCGAAATAAAATAAAAACCTTTTAGAATTTTGCGAAAAAGCGTAAATATATTGTTTTTTATTTATTGACATAAACATATTGTTACGGTCGGGTAAAAGTTTAGGAGTTCGTCTAGGAAAACTGATGAGTGTTCTTAAAACAGTCCTATTACAGTCATGAAACAGTCGGTTTTTTTTATAAATAACTCAATAAACTCTATCTTGTAACCCACTTTAATCAGTAACCAACATGAAAACATTTTGCTCGAAACTGGCAATTGATGTAATGCAGGCACGCCAGATAACAATCAAAAATAAAAGATTAAAAAAGATCCCCCTTTGTACATAGTGCATACTTTCTAGGATATTTTTCTATGTAGCTAAATTCATAACTAGGTCCAGCATTTTTTAATATAATATCCTTGATTCTTGGGCAAACAAGTTCAAAACTAATCAAGAATCAATACTTTATGATTTTTGAGTCAGCCAGCCACAGAGCGAGGAGGTTAATTATTCAGGGTTGAACAGAAGTTCACATAATCAATAGTGTGCTCAATCAAATTGTGATCACCTGAAGAAAAGGCCCTTTTGAATCAACGTTATCTTAAAATTTATTGCGTCCTGACAGACTTCAGAAAATTGAAGCGTTTTTCAGGATATGTTTGAAGATAATTTTCTGATTTTTTCAAGGAAAAAATTTTCTTGTTGGTGATTCAAACACTTTTTTTCAGAAGAGTAGGGCATCCCTAGTGTTATACCCTCAGCCGTTAGGTGAGGTATAAGTTAGTTGATCAAAGTCTATGCTGAGCGCTGACTGAGAAATAAGAAATAGAAAGATTCAGATCACAACTTAAATTCATCTGTCTATGTTTAAGTCTGGTTGACGCTGACCTCGAATCATTTGAGATACAGCGTTTCATAATAACTTGTACATATGTTGTTAGGTATAGATAGGTACTTATTTAATCCTCAGACTTCTATATGTATTATGTAATCAGTTAGGTTTATAATATATAAACATTACCAACTGGTAGTTTTAGCGCCTAATTGTACATTTTTTATAAAGGGATGTTTTGCTATGATATCCGTATGGATAACATTTCCCTCCTTTTGAGAAATTGAGTTTTTCAATTTGAGATTGTTCTAGATCCTCCGCCTGCAAATTGTCGTTAGCTCTTCCTCGCGCCTCAGCTGATTGTTGGTTATCTATTTTAGATACGTCTGGTGACTTTGTTTTTGTGGACTTCTGATTTTCTCCTTCTTTTTCTCTCTGAAAAGTCATCGAATTTCCTCTAATTGGACTGATCGATTGCAGGAAATTCATAGCGTCCTCAAAGTCTTTACTGAAGGAGTCCTCTGTGATCTTTGGCTTGTCCAGGATGTGACGCGAGCTTGTGGTTCTTGGTGGTGTATCGGTTTTGGTCGTTTCTCGGGCGTTTTCAGGCGTATCACTACTCATGTGGACTTCTGTACATACTATTTCTTCGGATATTGCCAACGATGGTGATAGGTATGCCGTGACCTCTTCGTTTCTCGTGGTTTGTTTGTTGTCGCATTTGTCAATCAGATTGGAGGTGCTCGATTCCTTTGTTGTAATATCCTCTGTGTTTGGGTACTCGATGGTTGCTACCGTGACTGATGTTTCTGTGTTGATCGAGATGTGTCCAATTGGGATGGCGTTTCCGAATTTTCCTGCTAGAATGCTCTTTCTTGATCTTGTTGATCGCCGAATTTCCGGTGAGTTTGTTTCCGGTGTGGCCTTTAGATCAATTCTTTTGGCTGCAGGTTGTTTACTCGGTGATGGGGTTTTATTGTCGAGCTCGGTATCCGATGAGAGTGAAACCGATGTGTCACAGTCGAATTGGATCGTTGCGGGGTCGGCTTTTGCTTTTTTCTTGGGGATGATTGTTCTCTGTGGTACTGATTTTGCCGGGAGGCGTTGCGTGTTTGGTTTGCTTCTGTCCCGGGCATTCTTCTGGTTTTTCGATGCAAATGTTGATAACAGTTTTTGTGGACCTAGAGCTTGTCGATTCAACGTCTGTTGTATTATTTCTTGTGTTGATTTTGGTGGTGGCTTTTTTGGACTTGTTGCCGATTTTTCTGCTGTTCCTCCTTGCGCCCCCATGCTAGGTGTCTTTTTTCCTAAATTACGCGGTTTAGCTCTTGGTAGGTGTTTATAAGCGACAAAGTCCTTTAGTGCCGCTGGTCTACATTTTCCATAGACCCTTGGATCTGGTATGAATGCGAGACCGTCGTGCCTAATTACCCTAGGTTGCTTTCCGTCTTCCCCTATCCACGCAGTATGTGGAGAGTAATTCATTATTGCGCCATTTTCAATAATTTTAAATTGTGCCCCAAATGTTCCCGGATTTTTAGTTTTCCTGGCAATTGTCCCCGTTTTCCTAGCGACTTGTTCAAGGCGTAGTCCTGTTTTAGGATTTATTGTATGTGCTGGACCTTTAAAACGATCCTTCAGGAATACTAACGGTGCTCTTCGTAAATTTTCTTTTTCTTGTCGTGTTAAGAGTCTTATGGGGTTACGTGTCCTTAAATTTTCAAAGTCGTTAGATTTTTCTTTTAGAAAAGATTCCTGGAGTGATCTGGTTTCATAAGGTTTATTTGATAAAGGTAGATGCGCACCTATTGGGAATTTTTGGAGTAGTCTCCTGTCGAACTCCTCATCGCTACTGTCTAGTGTTACTGCATCCGTGTGTGTGACTGCATCCGGTTGGTTGTGTGCTCGACGTTTTCCTGAGTTGGTGTTTGTGCGTTGATTAGCCTCGGTCTCGTTTTGTTCCGTGTTGATTTGTGCTGGTGGAGCTGGGTTGAAAGTTGGTTCGGGCACGTATTGATTATCTGGTGTGGGCTTCTGCTTGAATTTTAGGTCCAGTTCATCTTCACTGTTTACTTCTCTGTCCCACATTGTTTCCGCCGACAGCGCTTGTTTTGATAGTACTTTTTCGTCTAAACATGGCAGTTTCGTATTTTCCCACGAAAGATATGACAATTTAGGCGACGTGCTTAGATTACTTAGGGGTGTATTAGCTTTTCTACCATAGTGAAATTCAAAAGGTGTAACTTTTGTAGATGTGTTAGGTGTAATACGGAATTTTTTTGTTAATTCAGCCACGTCTGATGCTAATTTATACGGACGATTTGATTTATCAATTTTCATAATTGCTAATCGCAATTTTAATGTTCGTATGAGCCTTTCGACCATACCTATAGCTCTATGGTCGTCCACCGGTGCGAAAATCAGTTTTATATTATGAGTTTTACAATAAATGAAGAACTTTTTGGCTCTGAAGCCTTGTGCTTGATCACATCTGATTGCAGGGGGTACGCCTTGGTTGACTATGTGGTTTTGCATAAAACGGATGATTGTATCCGCTTTGCTATTGGTAACAATTTTTGCGTACGGGAAACGTGAGAAACGATCGACACCCACCAATATGTAAACTTCCTTATCGTTTTCATCCGGTAAGGGTCCTGCAAAATCCAATTGGATTTCTTCATTCGGTTCTACCACCGCGTCCAATGTTGTGTAGTGTTGTTTACCCGAGATAACTTTAAAGTTCTTACCCTTTTCCCGGCAGTTTTTGCAGTTTTGGGCAGTTGCCACAATGTCTCGATGTAAGTACGGGTACCACACATGTTTTGCCGCTTCTAGCATTCCCCCTTGTCCTGGGTGTGTGAGGTGTAATGCATCCATCAGTGTGGGTCTTAGCTGCTTTGGTATGACGACGCGGTCGTCGTAGAGAAGAATATTATCCCTGACTGACAGGCGATGTCTTACAATATAGAAGTAAGGGCCGTAGCAGCTCTTGACCGAGTCCCATTTCTGCTGCTTAACCATAGTTAGGAGCGGTGATAAATTTCTATCTCGTTTGGTAGCGGCTGCTAGGAAGTTTACGTCCATTACTTTCCGTAAGTTTTTCCGGAACAATGGGGTGTCTTCTTCTTCTATGGTGGCGATTGTTTGGCATTCCGTGTCCTGTTTTGTTGATTGGGTGTTTCCGGTTTGAGTTTGGCATTCTGTATCCTGCGATTGTTTTAATTCCAGTGTCTGGCAAATTGCATCGACTTTTTCATTTTCAATTCTGTTGAAGGTAAAGCTTTCTTTCGAGGGTATGACCTGCCTGGTGTGTTACATCACTGAATGTTAGTTCTGGCGGTGGTGGTTTTGATAGAAGTGCATTAAAAGATGCGTAACTGATGGGAGAAAAAGTAAGTTGAGTTTGAGCTGAGTTGTGGGATTTTCTCGTTATTCGATAAAAAGGGGGTAATGACAAGCCATGTTGCAGTTGTCTATTCATGGTTGAATGTGTTTTGAAATTTGGATGAACCAAAATTGATTTAAATGGAGAGCGACTTGATTTAAGCAATTGACTACGAATAGTGAATGCAGTTTGTGTTTCAACCGAATTTGAACGTGTGAAATTTTCGTTCCGGTCGAGCTTTTTGGTGCCGGTCGAGATAATTAATCGTTTTGACCTTATTCAAAACGGAGTTAATACTACTGCTATCTTGGAATTCTACGCATTTCACGAAATCGTCGATTAATGCTACTACGAAGTTTTCGTCCCAGTACGCCGGAGGTTGTGGTTTTCCGACCGGGTGTCGCAAGATGTAGTCAATAAGACCCATTTTACTACCAGCCAGGTGGTGTATATCGAAATCGAATGGAATGAGTCGATCAATCCATCTAGTTAACCTACTTTGATAGGTT